CACAGTTTTATGCATGTTCTGTTGGGATTGGCTCTATTCTGTATATAAGATGGGTTTGATTATGTTATAATGTAATCTCTTATTCTATAATCAGAAAAGGGAGTTGGCTACCATATGATTTAATATATGTTACTATAAAAAAATGTAGTTCATAACTTGTCATGACCTTTTTCTGGGGAAAAATGCAGAAGAATCAGAGCTGTATGTCCAGCCACATATGTTGTAATCTTGATACTACATAGACTTTGATCAGACATTTCAAAGCGGGGAGCAGTGAGGCGGCACATATTTTAAGAAACAGGATGGGTGCTCTTATGCTGAGGCCCCAGATTTTTTACATTATAATTCTAAATTGTGATGAAAATAGACATCCTTTCCCTTGTTGAAAAAAGCAATAGCACCTACTACCCTGCAGTCTTTCCGACTGCACTAGTAAGTTTTATTATGCTGCATCGTTTATGTACATACAAACGTAACTAAGAATATAATTCCAGTCCTTGAAAATGAGAAATGAGACCCTGCAATGAACTATGGACTCAGTGTCAATCCCCTGCAAAATAATGGCACACTTAATTCCGGACTCCAGGAAGAAGTAGGAGCCAGAGACTCAATTCCTATTAGCATCAATCATCCAGGCTTCAAGGACAGCAGATCTGGTCAGACAAAGCAGGTTCCCCGCCCCGGCCGGGTGGAAAAGTGGCTCTTTGGCAGCCACCGGTGGGGGGGGGTTGATTTGGGGAGGTCTGAGGAGCTGTCCTCAGGCAGAGCCCTGGTGACACTGCCCTTCTCCCTCTGCCTGCTGGGGACACCAGCCTCTGCCTGCAAAAGATGCGGTTTTAAAGGGGAAATTAAGAGGAGGTTCCCATAGTTCTGCTCAGGGGGGACCACGGGCAGGCGTGCAGCGGGGCCAGGAGAGGCCTCCAGGCATTTACACTGTTGTAATAGCATATGTAATTGGTATTTTTAACCATGCTGGAGGTGCGTGCTGCGAGCCCTCCTCATCCCTTTGGTGCCTTCTGCCCCCTCCCTCCCTCCACGGCGGGAGCTGGAGGGTTAATGGGAATAGTGGTCGGGGTGATAATAACCGCCCAGGGAAAGAGGCAATAAAGCTGAGATGAAGTAGTGGGTTTGTCTCTGTACACAATGTTGGTGAGACTCTTGCTAGGCTGTTAAGCCTTGTTCCACTGTTCACATTTCAGGATGATTCAGATATTCCTCAAAAGAGAAAAAACAAATGTAATCTAGGAATCCTTTCAAAAATTAAGCTTCTGGTGATCAAATCATCCGCAGAGAAAGATGAAGAGGTGATTTATCATGTTGCGCAGGTCCTTAGTCATAGGAAAGTTACTTGATAGTAAGGGGGGTGTTCAGTCTTGCAGACAAAAACATAATAAGATCTGAATTCTGAAAACTGAATTTAGCCAAATGCAATTTGGAACTAAGATGCTATTTCCCGACAGTGAGGGGGTATTTAGTTGCTGAAAGTGCTTACCGGACGTGGCAGTGTGAGCATCACCTGGAATTGCCAGGATCAGACTAGACAGCTTTCTAAAATTTATATTTTTGTCAGGCTTCTGAGAAAATTTCTAGAGCCTGTGACTATCTGAGCTCAGACTAAATTATCCTAGTGATCCCTCTGGCCATATATTCCACAAATATTTTGATACGGTTGAATTTTGTTCCTATTGAATTCTGTGCTCCATGACTATGGCTTAGATGTAGAATCACCAGGGAAAGATTTTCAAATGGTTTGCCATTAGAACATGAAATTTTATCAAAATTAAACTATTTGACAAAATACCATAGATTTCAGTTTTGAACACAGTAGGCAAAACCGACAACAAGGAAGGCAAGACTCAGCCAAAGTCAGTGGCTATCCTGAAACAAAGAGGGGAGGGAAAGAGCTGGAGCCGCAGGAGGAAATCCAGGGCTGGGAGCCTGAGAATGGGGGAAAATATGCTGCTTTTTGTGAGAAGACGACACTTGAAAAGGAGGCAGGTGATATAGAACAGATAAAACCTTATGAGGAAAGGCAGAGGAGGACGAAGACAACTCTTGCATTAAGCAGCAGAGAAAAATGTAGACCATGTTGATCTTTGTCTTAGAAAAGAAACCTTGTTCATTTGTGTGAATTGAATGAAATCCTATTACTTCAGTTCTAGCTTCCTGCCTCTGGCAGGACCGTCAGTGTATTTTCTTTGGAAATTTGTGTTTTGGGAGATTTTATTACAGTTGCTCATACGATCCAGATTTTCTGCTGGATCCTGATGATACTCTGCTCACAGGACCTACAGTAGTTAAGCTGAAGGACCAGCAGTAAAGCCCGCCAAGAGCTCCTCATTCCCACTGAAATTAACGTCACCATATTTCTAATCTGTTTTAATTACTGACAGTGATTACATCAGTTTGCTGAACAGTAAGTGGATATTTCACCCACCCATTTTCTGGTGATGGATGCAGGGAAGAGACTGGACTAAACCTAGTCCTGACCCTGGTGAGCACCAGGAGACCAGGTGCCATCATGGCAGCACAGCAGGCTCCTGCCACGTCCTCTATGTTTAGAGACAAGTTTAAGGCAAATAAAAATCATCTGGATAAATAGCATTAGGTGACAGGTGTGAAACATCCCTCTGTGGTACTGCTTCAGTAATGCCAGAACATGAGCAAATCTCTTTTTCTACCTTCTGAGGTGCAGAACCTCGAATAAGAACTTTAATGCTGTTGGAAATCTTACACCATAACATTTACTTTATCTGGAAGATATTTCCACTGTTCCAAATAGGTATTGCGCCAGTCAGTTGTATGTATTACTTGTGGGAAGAACTGTTTTGAGTTATTTGATTCCTTTACTTGACTTTCTGGAAGTACATTCGTTCTTGAAGGATAAATAAATAAGCGGCTCAGATTTAGGAAGATATTTTTAAAATATTGTTGTCTGAATAAAGCCACTGCATATGCCCCATTACTCATGATATCCTGCTCTCAGATGGATTTCTGCATTTCAGATAGAATGATCCCTCACCAGCTGTCTTTAGGAAGTAGATTTATTTTTCATACTCTGTACACATAAATAAGAATTCCTTTCAGTGTTTTGTCCATTGCCAAGCTGAAATGTTAACGATATTTAACGTGGGCTGCGACGGGGGCTTGGGGAGACCTGCATTAGCAGCTCCCTGTTCAGGGTGTGGGGCACCCCAAGGAAGGGTCACCCCTTGGCATAGCTGACGTGGGGTGGCCAAGTCTCCTTCAGGACAGGAGAGACTTCTGCAGAAGGCAGTTGAGTAATGGGATCATTGCAGGGATCCGCAAAGAAATCTGATTAATAAATTATCCCTTTACATGGAAATAACTCTTCTGTATGTTTCAGCTCCTAAAATTGGTCTGTAATGACTGCGTGCTCTTTCAGGTCATCGAGTGAAATAGGGAAGAGCGGATTGTCACCTTTGTGAGTTAGACTATGGCGAGTTCAGAAGTGTATCTCTGTTCAAGTGATTGTGTAAACCTGCTTGAACTTCAAAGGCAGGTAATGCTGACCTTCCCTGCTTTAGGAACTGACCTTCATTTTCCCTAAAGGCAATGTTTCTCTGCTAATTAAAAAGTCTACATAAACTTCTAATTTTCTTTGCTCACAAATTCATAGCCACAAGCAAGCTCTGAGAATTTCCCGCTTTTTAAAGTCTGTCTGACCCCAGCTCATTTCTACAGCTGAAATACTTCCAGTGCCTGGCCCATCTGCAGGTGGAGAGCTCAAAGCACACAAAGCCAGCCTCTACCTGTGGAAAAGCTCTGTACTTTAAAAGAACATTGAAGGGATGCTAACAATGTACTCTGGGTTTCAGAGGTGCATGTATGGCTTTGGATGGTGAGATTTTGGCTGTGACAAATAGGAGCAAACCAATGGGACAAGACCGTGGCATTCGGGAGAGTAAAGCTCTGGTTGGACAGAGACTTTGGGTAGGAAAATGGAAGATCATAAACATTGGGTTTCCCCCCTCATTTTATTGGTACTCACTTGCCTTGCTGAGCACTTCGATTTTAAAGTAGTCGCTACAGAAGGTTCCGAAACACCAACATGTAAGCTCTGTACCTTTTACAGATATTTGTACAAATCTTGTTATTTATCATATAGAGAAAGGTGCTTTTCAGAAACATCGGTTGGGTATGACTTGTTACTGCACTGATTTGATTTCTGTATCAAACGTAATAATAAGACATGTAAAGAAGTACATATTGCTTTAGAAAGAAAGATTCATTCTGAAATCCAGAATCCCTGCCTTCATTGCTGGAACCCTGAGTTCCTTTCCTCCCTGTGGAACATTCCAAGAAGCAAAGCATTCCCTGGAGGTTAGGCCATTTAATGCTTTGCATCATTTTCTATCTATGTGGAATTCTCTTCTCTCATACCCAGATGTATAAATAATACAGAAAATGCAGTTGAGTGAAGTATTCTGCTGATGAGACAAAAGAAAAAAAAAATCTAGCTTATTTTTTCTTAACCATCTTGCTACTGCAAGCCTAAAAGCAATACAAAGCAACAGAAATAAATGTATTTTAGTCTTCTCCATGAACAGATAAGACTCTCCAAGTACACACAGAGTAGGTGTAATAGGCATCACTGTTTTTAAAAGTACAAGAAAAATGTGATTTCATCTTCTTTTCAAACTGTCATGAGCAAGCTCAACCTTCTTTTAAACAAGAGCATCCATCAGCAGCAGTTTACTGGGAACTCGATAACAATACCTGCTTTGCTCAAAATAGAGGAAATTGGTGCTTTCTTATTTATAGCATTTTGAATCCGCAGCTGAGCTCCTGCAAATGTGATGGAAATAGCTGTGGTCACACCTAAACAAGGTTTTTGCATAGTTATATTTCAACAGCTGCATGTATTTTATCAATAATGGCAATATGGGTATCCCAGTTCTCCTCATCTATCCATGCTCGGGCGGGACTGCACTGATTCCGCAGCTTTCTGTTACAGCTTTCTCCTTGTTTCCTTCCAGTTTCTCCGAAGATATTTCGCATTTCGAGTGACATCGTTGTGAACGAAGGCAGCAATGTCACTCTGGTGTGCCTGGCCACAGGGAAGCCGGAGCCTTCCATTTCTTGGAGACACATCTCTCCCTCTGGTAAGCACTGAAAAAACTCTGACACCTGGAGCTTTCTGCAGCGTTTCACCGGGAACGGGCTTTGCTTTTTCAGCTTTTGGAAGTGTGACAGCATCTCTGTTGTATGGCTTAAAAGGTGTGTGCCTAACTAGACTTCTAGAAAATAAAAGCTTCTTCAGATTTCAGCTCAGATCAGTGAAAACTATAAAACGACTGCAACGTAGGAATGTAGAGCTAAAGGCACCCTAAATACATTTTTAAGCCCCTTTTCAACAGGCTGCAGGCATTTATCAACCAATTCCAATTAAAAGCAAAACAAGGAAATAATCAAGAACACGCAGCGCTCTCTAGAAGTAGGCGTGAAAGTTGAGAACATTAACACATCATGCAGTAGATTTAGTTTAATGTAACTACCATTGAACCATTATTCCATGGTACAGTGTAGCGTATTAGAATGGTTTTACTGAGCAAATTAAATTACATGTATGAAAAGCTGCAAACAAAATGGCATCTAAAAGCATAGTTTCCATTTAATATTTCCATTTATACTTTTAATTCCTCATAGCATATTTAAAGGAAAACTTGTAGCTGCCATCGCAGGCGTTTCTATGCTGGCTGGCTCGGTGCAGAGGCGCGGGAGCCAGCTCCCTACGGGCAAAGCAGGATCTGTCCCGCTCCGGGCTGGGGACATCCCTGCTCCATATCCCACAGCTCCTGGCTCTGGAAATCCGGGTGGGTTTTATGTTTCTGAGAGGAGAGAGTCCCCACTTCCAGCTGGCTGTTGCACGCAAGGCTGATGTTGCACAGGTTCTTTGATGGGGACTCCGCAGTGGTAACTGATTTTGCAGTGAAGGTCTTTCTGTTTGCTCACACAACTTTTATGAAATCCAAGTAATTGCAGGGAAGAATGGTTTCATGGACTGTCACACTTTACTGCAGTGTCTCATAATCCTGAGTAACAGTCTGCTGTTAAAAAAAAAAAAAAAAAAAAAAAAGAAACAAACAAAGAAACAAACAAACAAAATCCCCAACTTTTGACCTTTAAGACAATGACAATGAATTCTGCTTGAAGTGTCCATCAAGGGACTAGGGAAAAAAATTCAGTTGTAGCAGAAAATGGATTTTAACTAAATGTCAAATAAAATTTTATTGGAAACCACGATGATACTTTTAGAGTAATAGCTTAAAGCATTAGATTGTCTGCAGAAAGGAGCTGTTACAATTTTCCTGGAGAGAAAAAAAGCAGAAAAGGAGAATTAGTGCACTCAGTCTGGAGAAGGTCTGAGGAGGAATTAGATCCCCCTCATCTTGAATTCAGACAAAATTAGTGCATGTAATCATAAGGGCTTTCAGTGTATCCACTGATTTTTTATCTTGACCAAAGGACTGAGAATGAGGACTGAGAGGAAAAATGTGATCATTTAGCTGCAGACCCATTACACTCATCACATTGAGAACTGAAAAAGAAATTTGAGGAAAAGACTAATCAAAGATATCGTGGTACAGGGAGAGACAAGCAAAGTGCTCCCGATGCACTGGTGATGTGCTGAGCACCTAGCACAGCAAACTGCGGGCAGGACGGTATTTCTGGCCCCCGTCTCACCACCAAAGGTTTCAGGATTTCTCACCACCAAAGGTTTCAGGATTTCTCACCACCAAAGGTTTAAGGGCAGGCAGCTGCTGCCTGTGCTTTATCTCCCTTCCCTTGCCCAATACCTGCTTCATTCTGCCTTCCCAGCCCTTCCTGGAGGAGCGTATGAATAGTGTCCATAGCAGACAGCAATGTTCATTTCCCATGTATTTGCTCTTTCATCCTCTGCTGGAGCATCCTGACCAAGTAGCTGGCAGGTAATCCTGCAAATCCCATACACCTTCTCCTTCTAGGATTTTCTTTGGGGAAAGGTGGCTTGTTGGATTGGTTTTGCCACATCCCTTACTCTCTCACCATAAGTTAGATGAAACGCAGACACAGGCTTAACAAATTTGGAACTTAAAAATAAGGAAAATTACAGAATTGAACCACAGACTGGCAGAGGTAGTCAGGGACCTCTGGAGATCAGCTTGTCCAACTCCTGCTCAGAACATGTCCGGCTGGGTTTGTGTATCTCCAAGAATGGAGATGCCACAGCCTCTCTGAACATCCCGTGTCAGTGTTTATCACGCTCACAGTAAAAAAGCTTTTTTAAATTTCATGTCATTTCATTTAAATGGAATTTATTCTGCCTCAATAAGAGCCCATTGCGTCTTGTCCTGTCACCAGCACCTCTGAGGAGAGTCTAGATCCATCTCCTTGACAACCTCATCTAATACAGGACCCCTGGAGCCCTCTCCTCCCAGTCTGAGACCCCACCTCCCTCAGCTACTCCCCAGTTCAGATACTCCAGCCCCTTCATCGCCCTCATGGCCCTCCACTGGACTTATTCCAGGACATCCATGTATCTCTTGTCTGGGGGTCCCTCAGTACGTGCATTATAAAACCAGTGGGATATGCACCTACGGCAGGCTTGCTGCCTGGGGTGGCACTGGAAGCATCTCCGTGACTGGTTTACTTCACCTCCAGATGCCTTTACACTGATGCTCATAAACTGCTCAATCTTGTTCATGGCCAAAGAGGAGGTATGCCCAATACAATAACGATAAATTCTTGGTTTATAAGTATAACCGAAGGTTTAAGTCCAGAATTATTACTAGCCTAGATCTAATGTTCCCTGCTCATGGCAGGGGTGTTGGACTAGATGATCTTTGAAGGTCCTTTCCAACCCAAACCATTCAGTGAGTCGTTTATGACTTACCAAAGAAGAAAGAATACTCATGCAGTTGAAGTTTCTGTAGCCACACTTCTCCTGGTGCTCAGCACACCCATCCCTGCCCCGCGGGGGCTGAAGGTTGGCTGCTTCATTCTGGTGGGGGCTGTTACAGCGAGTTACCAGCACCCAGGATCCTTTGGGGGAGGAGTATGATGGTCACGTTGGTGATTTCTTCTTTCTCCCTTCAGGATCTGCTCAAGGTCATTTTTTAATTTTTTTTCTATCATGCTTTTACACCTTTAATCTTTCTCCATTGCTCTGCAGCTCTCCATTACATCCTAACGTACTGTATGTGGTGCCTTCTACATCTGCCCGCAATCATTCCTGTGTTCTCCAGTACCCCTAAACTCTGCTTTGTCCAGCTCCAAATCTGCATTTCCTTAACTGGCCGTGGCTGAGCTGTTCACAGCCGGGGGGGGTCTCCCCTCTCAACCCACCCCGTGCCTGCCCCTCTCTGCACCGCCTCCCGTGTCCCCGCTTCTCAGGCCCCTGCTCCCACCCCAGCCCGTGTTCCTCTGCATTGCGTCCCTGTGTAATGGTCAGAAACACCTCGTTATGCACGGAGGAACTGCCCACAGCTGCTGGCTGCATAAACCAAGCCACAGCCGTGCCACGGAAAGGCAAAGGTAAAACAGATTAGCTGGGCACGCCTGCTCGGGTGGAGGAGATGCTGCCCCAGCTCAACCAGGCATGAAAGAGCTGCGGGCAGGGCAGGGCAAGGGCAAGGGCAGGCAGAGATGCTCTGGCAAGTGCTGAGAACCGGCAAACTCATGGTGAACACTGCATTACGGGTCTGCATCATCACAGAGCCCATTCCGAGAGAGAGGTGGGCACCAGTGCGGCTGCGGCAGAGCTCTGGAACGTGCCTTGGGTGTTATTAATGGACAGAACTCTGTCCAGGGTGGCCAAGATCCGAATGACTTTTTTTCTCAAAAATCTTGTGAAATGTGATGGAAGCAAACGTATCATTCACAGAAAATGTTCTGTCCGCTAGGCTACCAAATAAAGAAGAATTTTTCCATTTCACCAACACTGCAGCACTTTTGTGCTGAGGTGTACGTTCTGGTGTGCACATTCAAATCCAGTTAAGTGTCAGCCTGGCAAACAAGAAGCCTGGATTTATTAGAAAACAAAATGCAAGAGAGTTGAAAACACCAGAGTTCTGCAACGGTTTATATTCTGTCTGCAGCAAATTACCTTTATCTAAACATAAGCTTCATCTGCACTTTATAATTTCTACCAGTTTTCTCCTGTAATTCCCAGTGGCACTAATGAGGCTTACATGCAAGCACCACATCTAGAATACAACACTAAATTATATTAATGAATCATATTTAGAATATTCTGAAATTGTTTGTCAAAGCTGCTACTAAAAGATAAGAAACTGAAATCTCTGAATACAAATGATTCAATGTAGACTAATTCCAAAATATTATCATGATTTGCATCAACTCAGCCTTTGCTTGGATGAGGTCGGATTCAATTTTTTTGAACAAGAGATAAAATGAACCTTTCGTAGGAATAAAAATAAAAAGTAGTTAGAGGTGATTTTTAACTTAGTACATAAATTATTGGCCTGGAATCTTTATTGTGCATGTTTAACTTGCAGTCATTATGTAAATGTTTTCATTATATAAATATTCATTATAGAAACCCATTATGTAAATCCACAAAATCTACACATTCAGCGTAACACCATAAGAAACACAGGGCTGTAGTTTGTAATCTGAAAATCTCGTATTGTTGAAATGTCATCTGAACAAATTGCAGGTATTACTTATTTTGTTCTGACATTTAAGAGCAAAGTGCAGCATCAATAGTTTAAGAATGAAACCAGAATTTTAAAGAATTAAGGTCTGCCTGAAACAAAACTCCAGCTTTTAACACTTGTGTGCAGAGTGCGTGTGTGTGTTCCATTGCCAGTTTTGAAAAGCCAGCTCTGCCAGCCTTGCCAGGAGCAGCAACAACAAAAGCCATCCAGAAATCTTTCGATAAAATATTACTGCTTTGCAAAATTCGTGTTGCTGTATGTCGAAACTCTTTTTCTCTTTGGCTTGGACAAAACTTTCCAAAGGCAAGATTTCCCAGCTGTGGAGGGATCGATGGCCTGGGATGCCAGACCGAAGAAGAAGCACACACCGCCTACACCCCACCCTTTGCTGCTTAGGACAGGCTTTACTGGTTAAGCCTGACAATTTCTGGGTTTATCAAAAT